TGTGGAAGGGGTACAACCAGCTCCTCAAGGATCAGCCGCTGCTCACGAAAGCCCTGACTTCCTTCGTGGGCTTCTCTGTCGGGGATCTGCTCGCCCAGAAATTCATCGACAAGTCCGAAGTCGTGGACCTGAAACGCCTGCTCAAGCTTGCATTCTTCGGGCTCCTGGTCCATGGCCCCACCGGCCACTACTTCTACGGTTTCCTGGACGGGAAGATGCCCGGCACTAGCGCGGTGACCGTCGCCTCCAAAGTGGCCATCGACCAGCTGCTGTGGAACCCGATCTTTGGAACCATGTTCTTCGGGTGGCTGGGTCTGACCGAGGGGCAGAACCTGGAAGGCATCAAGAATCGCATCGAGAAGGACCTGTGGGCTTCGGTCAAGGGCTCTTGGACAGTCTGGCCCATCGCGCACGCCATTAACTTCCGATTCATCCCCAATTCCCAGCGACTGCTCTACATCAACAGCGTCCAGATTGGCTACAACATGTTCCTTTCCTTCCTTGCAAACCGCAACGCCGCCCCGGAGCCCGCCCCCGTCGCGGCCGGGAAGAAGAAGTGAAAGAGCTTTGCAGCAGGCCGCAAAGCGAGCCCTAGGGTTGTGTGTTGATTTTTTCAGTACCAGCGTGTGGGCAGGGATTGAGAATACATGCGAGCGAGCGTGATGTGGGAAAAAGAGAACAAGATAAAGGCAGTGCGTCAAGCCCAATAAAGAAGCAGCTCATGAGCACTCGTGAGTGAGTGCGTGTTATATGGGTTCTGTTTGTAATAAGTTTCCAGATGGTTGTGTTTTAATCCGAGGCCAGGGATGTGAAGAAAAAAGTCGGGATTGGGAAAGCTGAGAAACGACAAAAGTCTCTTTCGTTTAAGAGACCTTTAAAGCTAAAAAGAGATTTTCATGACCAACGGCTCGCGCTTCTTTCCGTGTTCGAAAGTATGCACGTTAATTCTCATGCCCGAGATGTCAAGTAAGTGGTTCAGAGCCTCATGGTCCGCGACACCGTATGTCACCCCGTATCACGAATCAGAAAAGCAAAACGTGGCAAGAGTAACGGAACAAGGACGGTTTCTGGGCTTCACTGTCTCGTTTTGACTTTTTGAAAGATGTCTTCTCTCTATAGTGCTGCCATCTCTGCCTGTGGTCACCATTAGTAGTAGCCTCCAAATCCAGCCCCACCCATCTCCAAAGCCGCCGCCTCCGCCTGTTGGTTCGCAAGACTCTGCAGGAGCTCTGCATCGAAATATTTGCTTATCATCACGTCTTCACTCAACCCCTTACGTCGCCTTGTCTTGACCATGAAATCACGGGCCAAAGAATTGATCGGCGCAGGCTCGAGTGGGTGCAAGACTACCTCCCTGTCCAAGGGATCTCCGGGCACCTCTTTCCAATGGTCAAAGACCTGGGAGCAGAAGGCCTGCCCCTGCGTGTACGCGCGCAGATCAGTCTCAAAGCCAAACGAGTCGATCGCGGGGAGAAAGGCTTCGACTGTATAGAAAGGGGTTCCTGGCTTCGGACGGTCTTCTTTCACGTGACCTCGGCGCCGTTGGAGGACAAGATGGATGGCATCAACACAGTCCGCCGGGCACTGCACTTCCACCTTGAAATAGGGCTCCATTAACTGGGGCGTGGCCAGCAAGAAGGCCGAGTAGGCGACGCGGCGAGCCGTGGGAATAACCTGACCCCCTCCGCGGTGGACGGGCTCGGGAGCAATCGTTGCGTCCAAAATTTTGAACTTCACGTTCCGAATGGGCTCGTCGCAAAGAGGGCCTTCGCGACACCCCCACTGAAAACCTTGGACGATGGAGTCCTTGACGTTGTCCAAGAGCCGTTGGTCCACCTCGGACGGCATGGTGTCATTGATCAGGACGTTGGCCCCTTGCGCGTCCGGCCCGAATGCCCAAATGTTGCGGGCGGTCAAGAGATCCCATCCGTACTTGGCGTGGAAGAAGTCCCCGACCGCCCGCCTGTCCCAGTCCGTCGACACCGCCCCTTCTTCGATGTCGCGCGCGATGCCCGCTTCCAGAGGCTCGGCGATCATGTGCAGCTGGTTCTGCTTGTTGGGCGTCTCGGCGAAACAGCGCAAGGACGAGGTCTCACGCACCGTCTCGCAGAACGAGACGACCGGGTCCGCCACCTTTACCTCCAGGCTCGCGTGCAGATGCCGGAGGTCGTGCATGATGCAGTCCAAATACAGTTCCCCCGTGCCCAAGATCACGTGCTCACCGGATTCTTCCACTTTCGTTTGCGCCGCCGGGTAGCTTTTCCGTATCTTCCGCAGGGCCTCCACCATCTTGGGAAGCTCCGCGGGGTTCAACGGCTCCACCGCTAGCTTTAAAACGGGCGCCACATCGAACTTAAGGGGCTTGAAAATGGCTGCCTCGTCGTTCCCTTTGGCCTCGATCAGGGTCGCCGTCTTGCTGATGGGCCCATCCACCCCCTCCAGCAGGACCCAATTGCCCGGGCGCGCCGTGCTCACCTCCAGCCTGTACCTGCCCTGCCCTATGCTCAGACTCTTCACTTCCCGCACCGCCATGTCCTCCTCGTCCTCCAAAGTGTATGCCTCCCCCAGGACCCGCACCTGCTGCCCTGCAGTGATGGTCCCGCTGTAGACCCTCCCGAAGGACTGGAAGCTCTCCCCGTCGGGGGCGGAGTACAGCTTGACCACGTGCAACATCAGCGGGCCGCGCGGGTCGCAGCGTTTCATCGCCAGGGCCGCCTCCGAGTCCTGTGCACCCGTGTACACAGCTTCCACCTTGGCGGCCGCGGCGGTGACGGGGGAGGGGACGTGGCGGGCCAGCATGTCGACCAGGCCGGTGGGGGGGCCCAGGAACTTGCTGAGGACGAGCTTCAGCAAGGGCTTTGGGTCCAGGTGCAGTTCTTCCCGACGCACGCGCACTCCCAGCTCTCGAATCACCTCAGTCAGCTCCGCGGCGTCCTCGCCTAGGGTATGCGAGTATATTTTGTACAAGGGATCGAGGATGAACTGTACGAAGGAGCGGTCGGCCTCTGGGTGCGGGGGCTGCTTCCGGAAGGTCCTCGAGGCCTCGTCCAAGTAGGCGTTGCCCCAGAGCCGCTTGGCAAACTCCGTGGTCTCAAACTGGTCACCAAGCTTGTGATACGAGGCATAGAGCGAGGCAAACGAGCCCAGCGAGAAGCACCAACCGTGCACGGCGGAGGCGAAGGCCACGTTCCCTAGCGCCGGAGAAAGCCGCTGCGGGCGCCGGACAAGGGCGTTGGGCGTGTGCCGCTCGATGCAGGCATTCACCTCCTCGATGGTGTGCTTAAGCTTGTAGTAGGCGTCGGCAGGCGGGAGCTTGAGCTCCAAAATGAGACGGTCTACCTTGTTGATGACGAGCACGAGGGCTAATTGCTCCCTCAAGGCCTGCTTGATCAGGCGCTCTGTCTGCATCATTACTCCTTCCACCGCATCCACCACTAAGAGCGCCCCATCACAGGCTCGCAGGGCCGCACTGACTTCGTCGGAGAAGTTGACCATGCCGGGGGTGTCGAGCACGTTGAGCAGAAAGGACTTCCCTCGCGTGTCCTCCAGCACCAACGACACGGGCGTGGACTTGATGCTCAGCGCCCGCTCCTGCTCGTCTTTGCGGGTGTCCGTGTACCGAACCTCCTTACTCGGGTCCCAGGCTGCTTCTTGTGTTTGTTGGATGAGAAGATCCATGAGCAGGGTTTTCCCGTGGTGCAACGCCCCCATGACGCAGACATTGCGGAGGAGGGTGGGGGTCTCCATCAGCGTGGTCAAAAATTCGGGCGTGTACCGCGTCTGCGGCAGTTCTTTTTCCGATAAAAGTGTGGAAAACTTTTTGGGACGAATGGGTTGAATAATCGGTTCGTCCAAGCCTTGAGCATCCTCGTCCAGCACCACGGTGTTCACGCCCGGGTAGACCTCCTCCATCTCTGGGTAGTACTTCTTGTCTTCATGAAGCACGATGCTGCTAGACGCCCCGTTCGCCTCCATCGTTGCCAAAACATCGTCTCTTTCCATACCATCTGCGCCTTCATCCTCGTCCCCAAAGCCATTCATGCCATCTTCTTCCTCTTCCTCTTCCTCTTCCTCTTCCTCCTCCTCGCTGCTATCGTCCAGGCCCCCGCCGATGTAATTCCCGAACTCGTCATAGAGCTCGTCCTCCATACTGCCCCACGTGCAGACAATGTCACTTCTATGTGCAACTGTAAGGCTGAGGAGTCGGAGAGGGTGTGTGAGAGACTAAGAAAAAGCCTGCACCGTGCACTCACTTCTTGTCTTCGGGAGTAAGTCCTGCTTGTGATGGGAGGAGGCGCGTGAAGCGCAGACGAGTGGGTAAACACTTCCCGCCCCCGGCCTGCCGACCGCACCGCTGCAGAGTTTTCTATATTGCACACTTTCAAAATTGAAAGAAGTTCTTGCGTCAGGAACGGGAGGCATCCATCGTTGGTAGTTTTGCAGGGCAAGCGGGACGAATGCGTGCGGCGACGGGTATCTTGCCGTGGCACCCAAGGCGAGTTCTTCCTGGCCCCGACCCGCAGGAAAGGTACGCGAGGGGAGTTCAGCCTGGCATTCGGTCCCAGCTGATATATCGAGGTTTTCAAAACTCACAATGCTTTCGGCAACGACAGCACATGATCCTTGTCGACACGCATTGCCACATCCACCGATGGGGGAATGGTGAGGTTGCAGCATCGCCAGCGTATACTAAAAGGGGAAATAATGTCCGGAATCCTACTAGAATGGCCTCAGGCGGGAACGATTTCGACAATTCAACGGCTGATCAATATATTCATCCTTTGTATTGCTTGATGGCCGTTGAGGAAGCGGATTGGTCAGGTCTACTGGCCATTTCAGGGAGAGACCGAAAAGAGAAGAAGCCGCTCCTGCAGGACGTGTCTCAAGACACCAAAGAGGTAGTAGCAGTGGGTTTGGGAATTCACCCGTGGAAAACACAGAGTGTGAAATCAGGGTGGGAGGGGCGCTTAAAAGAAGCCTTGGAGCGGGATCCAACCCTTATCGTGGGTGAGATCGGATTGGACAAGGCGAGGGAGTCGGGCAAGAAGTCTTGGGAGGAGCAGCGAAAAATATTCGAGCTGCAAATGAAACTTGCTGCTGAGCTAAGAAGACCGGTTTCGGTGCATTGTGTACGGGCATATGGTATCGTGTACGAGTGGCTCAAAGGGCGGTCCGCGGCCGAGTTGCCCCCTTCAGTGGCATTCCATTCTTACACAGGTTCGCTCGATATGGCGGGCGCTTTTTTGCGTCTAGAACATCTGCAAGGAAGCGTTTTTTTTGGCTTCTCAGCCGCTGTATGTCTGCGCTATCCAGCGGCTGAGGCAAAGCTACGCCAAGTGTTGCCGATCCTGCCAAAGGAAAGTCTGTTGCTCGAGTCGGACCTGGACGACCGCGAGGCTGTCCCCGGGGCCATGAACACCATCTGTGACGTGGTTGCCGAGGTCAAGGGCATGGAGCGGAATGTATTGGCAGAGGTCACGACGAAGAACGCCGAACGCTTTTTGAGGCGGGCGTTGCGGTAGAGGTATCAAGGGTGGAAAGTTGTGAATTAGTACATGGTCCTCTTGTAAAGCGCACGCTTGGTGCACCTCATCAAATGGATAACCAAACCTGTTCGATTAAAAAATGAAACGGCTGAAAACTTTCTATATTTTGGTACTTTTGCTTCATGTCAGCGTCAGATTGCTCATTCACAAGCTCTCCTCTAGCGAGGCGGCCCCCTCCCCAGCCCAGAAGAGACGCTCCAGTCGATCCCGCGCACGCGCCAACGTCCCCGGATCCAGCACCGGTCCCAAGACAAAGGCACCCCTCTCTGCACGCTCCTTTTCGTCCTCACGCTCCAACCTCCCCAGCACTTTCCTCGCGTGCTCCTCCAAGATCGGCCGCTTCCGGGACCGGGCTCCCTTCTTCCTCCTCAGGACCTCCAGGGACCCTTGCAGCAGCTCCCGCCCTTGTGCCGCTCGTTCCCGCGCCATCGCCTTCCTGCTTGCAGCCTCCACCAGCGCCTTTTCCTCCACCATTCCCAGCACGTCGTGCCAGTCCCCGACGGCCACGCTCTGGCTGGCAACGCCCACCATCTCCTCCGGCGCCCGCCCTCTCTGCTTGATCCCCGACCGCAGACACCGCTGCCAGGCCAGGTAGCCCTCGTCCGACCGATGCGCCCGCGTTCGCTCCGCCCAAGCGGCGAGGACGTCCCCCAGGAGCTTGTCCACCATCCGCTCGACCTCCCGGCCCATGCACTCGCGCAGGCGCCGCGTCGCCTCTCTTCGGTGCCGCTGCTGCGTCCCTTCCGCCCCTCCCGCCTGCCCCGAACGCCTTGGTTCCTGGCAGTTCTCTAGGGACCCATCCCCCTCCTTCGATCCCTCCTCCATCGCTGGTGTCAGCATGCCCAGAGAGAGCTCCAGCAGGTCGTGAAGCCGCACCTCGGATTCCCTCAGGCGGTGAGACCCTCCCCCTTCCTCCTGCCTCACTTCACCTTGAATCCCCTCCCCACTGTCATCAAGCCCATTCTGACTGTGCCCGTCCGAGCCTCCGTCACCCCTCGCACCGTCTCCTTCGGGCCCATTCAAGCCCGAAAACTGCCGAACTACCGCCTCGTCCCACACCCGTAACAGGACCGGAGAAACGTCCGGGTCGGCATCCGGGGCATCAACCTCGCGTGGGAGTTCTGCAACGCTGTGGAAGGGAAGCCATTCCAGACGCGGAGCTGGGGCTTCTTGCCTCCCCGCGACCCCTCGGGATCCTCCCGATGCCCTCATACGCGGGGCGTAATGACAGACACCGTCCCTGAAAAGGAGGGCGGCCGACGATCGACTTCGCGCTTCAGATGTGCAGTTATTTTGGCTCATGCATAGACCAGCAGCCTTCGGTGCTGTGGCGAGGGAGGGCCAGTACCCTGAGGGGCAGAGCAAGTGCCGGCGAGCAAAATGACGCTGCTCCCGCTGAGTGAGGTGCACCTCGCGATTGCTTTTAACCGGCTTTTTCTCTGGTCCCCTGCTCGTGGTCGCAGCATCATCGTCGTTGTGATCATTTTCATGGGAAACCTCGGCGGTAGAAGCCAAGGAATGGGCTCCGCTCTCAGGCTTGGCCGCAGACTCCTGGCCATGGGAGACCGTCCCGGCATGGAAAGCAGCCGGTCCCCAGCCTTTCTCCTCCAGCTGATCGTACACGGACCGATCACGCTGAAGTCTGCGGGGTCTGGCCGCCCGCAATGGGCACAAGTCTCGTTGTTGCTGCCTTGCTCCGCGTTGCACAAGGCCTAGAATGGTCGTCTTGGCCATCTCGTTGCTTTGCTTCGTGTGCGACATGCCCCCTGAGCGTGACTGCTCGTGTCCGGGCCGGATATGCTGCTGTACATAAAAGGTTTAAGCTTTAGAAAGGAATAAATGAAAACAAAGATCCGTGCACATGTTACTATGTCCATGACCACCTTCTTGCATTGCCAAGACCACATGGCAGGAGGTTAGACCCCCTACTTCTGTGACGTGCACGCCCGCATTGACTTTTAATTTATGTTGCTTTCGTATGCATGCAGTTTGCATATCCAAAAATAATCGGATGGATTATCATGCAGGAGCATGCTGGGTAGCAGTTTGCTTACAAGGGCTTGTAATGAGGAGCGCGTTGGCAGACTCCGCGCGGCCCATCCCCGCCCAGGCCGCAGCTAACGCTCCCGTGCAATACGGGAAAGGGTGTATCGTACACGTCAGCCTCTAGGCTTGATTTCGCTGGAAGAAAAAATGAAAGAAAATCGAGTCACCTTACTACCATGTCGCGCCGAATGCATGACCGAACATTTCTCAGACTTATTCTTTTATGTGCTCCCTTCCAGCAAGTCATTCTCCATATTTTTAATAGCTTGTCTTGTCAATCTCTTAAATCCCCCGCTCATTCAATGAAAAGAATTTGTACCCCATGCGAAGTAAACACCACGTCTGCCGTGCCACGCCGATCTGCGGGGCTCAAAGAATTTACCGTAGGCCGATATTTAGCACGAGTTCTCCCGCAAGCCGTCACCCTCACAATACCTGAAACAAGGGAAAGCCACGAGGCCTCGTCCATCAGATTTCTGCCTACTCAACAGTGCGCCCTGTAGGGACACACTCCGCTCAGATCCACCGTGCCTCCATCGAATACGTCGATGTATTCTTGACGCCCTGACCCCACTCCGCTTTCCCGCCCTTCCTTGACTCACTCACACCGACACATCCCGCAAAGACTCGCCGTTACCTAAAGCAGTGCTTTTCTCCTCACAAAATCGGGCTGCACCTCTCACCATGATGGAAATCAACGCGAGAGTGCCCAAAGCTGTACTGATAAAAATGTGCGTACGTGCGAGCGCATGAGCGCTTTAGGGCTTCGACGCGTCGGTCCACTGCTTCGACATGAGAGACAGTTTAACAGCGCTTTCCCTCGTCTCTTTCCCTGACACCGCTGCCACTGTTTCCGTCGTGCTCTTATGCGTGTCGCCTGCTCCTATACAACCTGCCCCGTAGTTCCTTCGCCCCTATATCTTTAATTTCTCCACACCCTCCTCTAGACTCGCGTTCCTCTCGCTGGGCGCGGCAGCCTCCTTGGACGGCAACGCGCTTGCTTTTTGAGACCCCTCTCTTATCGCTGAGACCGGCCCCTCCTCTGCCTTCCATCCACCGTTTTGTCCCGCCTCCCCCGCCACGCTTATTTGCTGCTGGTCCGGGTCGGGGGGTGCCGGG